AAAAAGCTTTGTGTTCCTCTTCAGAATGGGAAGGAATCAACCTAATGTCAGAGTAATTAGAAATGTTGTCTTGTGCCGATGGGAGACGTCATCTATCGCTTGAGCCAATATTGAAGTGTAGTAAAATCTGTACCTTCTAACTTTGGGCTTTTTGCACCTCCCAGGCATCTAGTACAGAACATGAGTTACTATAAGGAAGATTTGTTATATCAGACCATGTGTTTGAATTTGTGAATCAAAAAGTGACCTGAGCAACAAAGAGTGGTAGAAGTTGTTCCCTGGGAAGCGATGTTCTCTAAAATCGGGAGGAATTTTTTAAAAATCTCACGCATTTCTAGCAAGAGATGAGCAATTGCAGTGCACTGGACGCCAGGGTTTGAGAAGACTATTAAAAACACTTTTATTTGGTTTTGTTTTAAAAAAAATCATTTTGTTCTTTTCACTTATCAGCAGAGAATCAGCCGTTCATGCTTCCAGATCTGGAATAAAGTGAAAAAAATAAACTTGTCTTTATGGGTTTCTCTCAGAGAGCAGAGCTGCTTTTTATTCAGCTTCCCCTGAAGTGGAGGCAATGAATTGTGGCCTCCTGAGTACCTGATCTCAGCAGAGGATTGATGGAAGGTTACCTCTGTGTGTGAGCGCACAGCAGTAGTCACTGGCAACAGGAGAAAAACAGGTTGGATAGGTTTGCCAGATTTGCTTTCTTTCTTGTGTGTTTCAGTTTGTTCACTTATTTAGTATAACATTTGGGCTGGAGGCCAAGTCTCATCCCAGTGATTCTGTATCATTTTCCTTCCCTCCACTGCAGTAGAATTAAGACAACTTTGGAAAGTGCTCTGAAAACCTTGAGAAGAATTACAAGAGAAGCAAAAAGTAGTGGAGAAATGCATTTAAAAGAAGAAGTATGAGTATATGAGGAAATGAATGAAGCTGAAACAAGCACCTGTTTGTTCACTCAGGATAAGAAGCAAGGAATCAAAACTGCCATGAAGGCTAAAGGCATCCTCAAACAGAGAGGAGGAGTCCTCAGCAGGTTTTTTTTTAGCAGGAAATAGGAGACAGAAAAATTCAGATGATGGGATCTGTTGTAATGAGGAAGAAGCAATAGAAATTACATAACTGTTCTAAAAAAAAAAAAAAAAAAACCACTCAGTGGTAACTTCCTTGATTGATTTATTTGCACAGACAACATCTTTTATGATTCTGATATGAACCTTGGGAAAAAAGAACTGTAAATAGTCACCATGCAGTAAAAGCCTGGGGAATAGCAACCCACCAAACTGTGCTAAAGTTAACTACTTTAGGGACAGCTGTTAAAATGGGCCAATGCACTAGAGCTTTCATGAAGTTTAGATCTGTTGTAAGGAAGAATTAGAGGGGAAAGTTTAGTGTCAAAGGCCACCTGTCACAGGAATTCAAGACGATCGGTGGATAGACAGCTGCTGATTTCAGTGCAAGATACATCAGATCTATAGTTAGGAAGATGCCCGGATGACTCAGTAGTCAGAAATTCCTGGAGGTGATGCTTGAGCATTTTCATGACTCATAGCTGCATAATTGATTTGCTCCTGTTAGCAGAAGTTTTATTATTCCTGTGTGCAAAGAATCCCATTGTTGGAAATGCTTGCAAAGCTTTTGAGTTTCACTGATGTAATTCTTCATCTAGGAAGTCATAGGCAAGTTTTGACTTTCTACTACCTTTTCATTATGATTTATTATACTAACTGCCCAGTCAAGGATGGCATGCAGTTTTAAGTGCTAAACGACACTGAAGAAATGCCGAGGAGCTGACGTGTGAAATGTTCAAATTAACATCTCAACGATGTGATTCACGTGCAAGAGGCAGGGTAGGGATCAATGGTCAGGGTGGATGCTGAGGTGCTTGCAACATGCTGTTTGATGTGTTGCTGCTTTGTTCTTTCCATCTGACAAACATCTTTCTTGGCCTTTTAGATTATGAACCTTTTGGTGTAAGGTCTATCTTGGTCAGTTTGTTGGCCTCTTACCTTCTTTTGTTTGATTAATGTTTGCATAGACCCTAGCAAAACAAGGCCTCGCCTAATAACTAATGACCCTGTGGAGTCGCACTGAATTTCCAGTTATTGTGGAAATGAGAAAGAAGACTAACTTTGGCGTCCAGTGCTCCTGACAATAACGTCCTTAGCTCTGTTCAGGGAAAGCTTGATTTCACAGAGAAGTGAACACCTACCAGGAACAAATGAAGGGGCTGCCACTAAAGTCTTTTTAAAGATGCTTTGCATTTCTTACGGCAACTCTGAACAGCAGATGGGTTCTAATAGTCACCCAGTCCAGTTTGAACAGGAAGCAAAAATGTCTTATGAAGTGAGGACAGCTTTGCTTAATAGCATCCTTACAATCCCAGATGGACCCAGAAGTGCAAAGAGGTTACCAAAGGCATGGGAACTTCAGTTCTGTCTGTTTTGGCTGAAGGATAGAGACGTCCTTATTAATTACGCAGCTCTTTTCAGGCTGTTAGAGGCCTTAAGCAAGCAACCTGTGTAAAGGTCTAAGAATTCTTATTCCACTGAGTATTCATATTAAAACATGCGGTACAGGTTGCCAGTGTCTTTTTTCCCTTCATTGCCAAATTTTGAAGTATTTGGTTCTCAAGCAAGAGTGTAGTAGATTTTCTGGGAATCACATTTGAGTACAATTCAGGCTTGTCTTGCAGGCAAGGCATGGATTTCAAGGACTGCGTTAATTTCCCAGCCGTCCCACATTACTTGTGTAACACAAAATGAGCGCTTTATCCGTCTATCTTAGCTTCTCACAAGCAAAGTGAAAGAAGTAAATATCTCACTACTCTATTTAGATGATAAATTCTCCAGGAATAGAGACAGTCTCAAATAATAGTTCCTTGTGGTGCCTACAACCATTGGCCCAATTCCAATTGGCATTATGATACCACTAGAAGAGATGTTCTGTGGGACTTCTATGGTAAACATCTACTAATTTCTGAGGACTGAACTTATGACCCAGTTGGTCGCCCCCTTCTATGTGTCCTGTGTAATGAGCACTTCATAATAATGGAAGAGGGCAAAAGTTTTATTCCAGGTGTTAAGAGAACTGTGATCTGCCATTGAAACTAGCGTAGGCAGCCATTTATTTAACAACAAGCCTCATATGTCTTTTTTAATCATTCTTTCTGTCTTTCTTCCAGGGAATGTGACCAGGAATTGTACAAGCCAAGGCTGGACAGATGTGTACCCTGCGCCATATGCCCTAGCTTGTGGATATGATTCCAACAGCACTCCAGGGGAAGATGTAGGTAAACCTGAGTGGATAGACATCAAGATTTACCAGGGATAGGTAGCAGAATCACATGATCTCCGCCTGTCCAATTTTTCCATTCCCACTCTGATCCCTCAAGAAGGAAGGATCCTCTTGAGGATCGCTGGAAGCAGAGATCAAATGTCCTTCTAGTCAAAAAGCTGACCCTCCCTTTGATTTCCAAGGGAGTGGCAGGAGCTCAGCAGCAGAGAAGATCAGAGCAGTGTCACTGTGGTGCCCATGTGTAACTTCAGGTGCTTGATTTTACACATTCAAGTTTGAAATGTTAGTCCAAGCCATCCCTTGAAATATTTATATATTTTGTAAGGAAATACACAAGCTCTCAAGGATGTTGCCTGTATGTAAATTAGTAATTAGTGACCTATGAGTAATTAACTTTAAAATATTGTAGCATATTGGCATTTACACAGAAAGGAGATTGTTACTGGGTTACTGCATGCTGAGACATGAAAGGTTAAGTCTAAAGAGGATAACAAAAGTCTCTTTTAAAAGCAGGATTCATCTCACCTAACTAAAAGTTCAACATCTAATCTAAGCTAGTCACCTACAGCTGTCCCATATAGTCAACAAGAAAAAGCTCAAGCTAGAATGGCATTGTATTTCACTGCAACTATGTATTTGTTTTAAATCCATGCCTTTTTCTGCCTTAGGACATATGTCAAAGTTTGTGCATGTTGGACCTAGGAATCTGAATAATGAGCAAATATATGCAGTGAAGGATCTTTGTGTATGACCACACATTTCAAAGGCACTCAAACAGTTAATGGAAAATCTGAACTGAACTTAGCCAGCATTAGGAGTGAAAGAATACAGAAAATACCAAAGGGAAAGCCACACAAAGAAGTTCAGGGATCTACTGGTGGGAGAGCTTTAGTATGCTTTCGGGGTCAGCTGCCACTTCACATCCTCTAGTGTCCCTTTTCTATGACCGATATGTACGGCACCGTTTCCTCTTTGTGGAAGCCATTGTTAGAGATCTGCAGCATGAAGGCCCTCCACCAAGAGCTCGAGTTTATGTTCCAGCTGCAAAGGGATTTGGGAATTCCTGTGACATGCCTTGGCGACCCAAAGGACTGCAGCATTGCCAGAATGCCTCGTTACCAAGAGAACACATATTGTGTTCTTTTAATTCTCTCTTAATTATTTTCTTTTTATTTCTGCAGTTCTGTCATGCTGTTTAAGTCTACTTTGTGTGAAAAGTGGCCGAGGAGAGTGAACATACAGTACTAGCCTGTGAAGAATAGTTTTTCTTTTCTTTTTTTTTTTTTTGAATTAGCTGTCAATTTGGGGAGGAAGATTCAAGGGGAATAGAAAAAAAAAAAAAAGGAGAACAGTAGGCTGTATGAGGCATGAGGTCCTGAACAGACTGATAACCATCCATGCCTAAAATGCTTCATGCACTTTTAACGTCTACTGGTCTCAAGTGAGAAACAACAGGAAAAATATAAAAAATAAGTAAGGGATATGTGTAAGATTTTATTCCTAAATTCTAGCTGTCCTTGGAAAAAGGATGATGTAGGCACTGAAGTAGTGCCGCTATGATCCTGGCAGTGATAATGTTTCCTTGCCCAACCTAACTTTGAAGAACCATATATTAAGAAACCGGGGGTTGTTTTGCTGCCCTGTTGTCAGAAGAGACGCACAGCTTCCCCACTGTGCGCTTCCATGTGGTCAGAGCCAGCCCACCCTATATGTCCCCATAGGCTCCATCTAGGGGCAACGAAGAGAGATAGGCATCTCCACAGGTCAGTTCATCCTGCATTTCTCTCCAAAGGTGCCTCTTTCCACTTACTCTAGAGGGAGCCTGGATTAGTGTAGCCTTAGAGAGCTAAACTCTCTAAGAGAGATGAACTCTAAGCGTGTTTGGGTGCAGGGCTGCGCAAAGATCTGTTGTCAGCATTTTTGCTGCCTCAAAACTCATTACAAATGTAAATGATTCACAGTCTCATCTCAGTTACCGAGGAAAAAATGTAGAGGCTACTTAGCAGAAGTTAAGGAAGTTGATTCTGAATTACTATCAGTATAGCACCTATCTTAACTAGTTGTTCTCCCAACATGCCTGTGAAATTAAGCAGAGGCTTTTAGAAGTCAGAAAGAGAATGATAAAGTTGTCCAGTTTCATGCAGCGAATCAATAGCACATCTAGGCTTAGAGCTGGAGCATGCATTTCTTTTACATCTCTTAAATCCCTCTATTTCTTCTGATGTGAATATTTTAGTAATCTGAGCATTAAAAGCGAAATTCCAATTCCATTTATGATCTTGGGTAAAATTCTCTACTTTGATATCTGTAAAACAGGAGGTGATCATCCTTGGCGAGTGCAAATGATGAGTGAGAATTAATTATGTGCTGTTTCCAGAACAGAGATAACTCCACATTCCACATTAAAGTTGAATGCAGAGCCATCTCTCTATACACAAGAAGGATCACGTATCATAAAGCAGAAGGGCAGAGAATTGCTTACTGAATAGCTCTAAGATCCTTCTGGGTATAGCTTACTTTTGTGAATGACTCTAAGAAGCAAGAGGCCCATACCTGTATTCCCACTTTGTAGTTTCCATCTGCCAGCCCACTGCTGACATCTCCAATGATATATCTTTATTTCCTTCCCCCCATCTTATACCTTCTTGTCTGCTCTCCCAAATATGTGTAGGATGACCTCTTCCTCAAACTCATTCACCCTCCACAAGCTCTCTCCTTCTGCCTGGCCAGATCTCTCCTGGCGCATGAAGCAGTGATGAAGCAACATGACCGCTGTAACCTTTGCGCTATCTGAGATTTCCATCTTGTTTTGACACTCCTCCAAGTTGCCTTGTGCAAATGCTGGAGGATTACCTCTCTCCTCTGCCTCGCTGGTTCTGTAGAGATCCTACTGCTCCACGAGGGTTATGAAAATAACATTTAAAAAAGTCAGTCCTCTTTGTAATCAGAGTGATTTCCCAAACAGGGTTGAGTTTAGATTTTTGGTCAAAACTGCTTCTTCTGGGATATTTTGGTGTGGTTTTTTAATTGAAAATGATGGCAAGGGCTGGATTTTAGCATTTTCCACAAATTGAGTGGTTTTCTCATGAAAATACGGATTCTTCATGGATAAAACAAATGTCCAAGAACCAACTGATCTTTTTTTCTTTAAGCTGAAAAGCCAAATATATGGATTTAGAGTGTTGTTGCAGAGCCTTATGAGAGCTGGAGTTTTGAGTCCTTATTTCTCCATTTCCTTTAGACCAGGTTTCCATATCAGATTAAAATCCCACAATGCTCCATGCTTAGAGACTCCCTCCGTGTGCTGTCTTTCATGTCTAAGAGAGAAGCCATGAACTAACTAATTTCCAAGTTAACACCTATTTCTGAATGAACATATGTGTGCTTTCAGTGAGAACGTTTTAATACTGTTCCTTTTTCCTTGCCAAAACGAAATCAGTGTCTTCCACAAAAGGAAAAGCAATTTTCACACCAGTTCTATCCTCAACCTTCGTTAATAAAATGAGTTCATCATAGCCAGTGCTGACATGTCAATGCTCTGCTTAACTGAATATTAGTCATTGTTTCACAAGATTATAATCATATAACTATGTGAGTGTCAAATAAGACTTCTTCTAGAAACCTTTCCCCTGGTTATGGGGTGATCTAAGCTCTACTGCAACCAGACACTTTTATCTTACTCACACCAGTGGTATTTGAATCGTACTCTATTGGATTTGATTTTAAAAGGTGAAGGGGTTTGAGATTTCTGAAGAGAATGAAATGGGATGGTTTCCTGGTTTCACCAAAAAAGTCAGTAAAAGTTCAGTGATGGTGTATGCAGTGTTTGTTTAGGAAAGTGTGTTGGCAGCTCTTTGAAAGTCCTATTTTATTTCTTTTCTTCACATTAGCAAACAGCGTTCTATGGCACAGTCAAGACCGGCTACACCATTGGACATACCTTGTCACTCATTGCTCTCACAGCTGCTATGATCATTTTATGTCTCTTCAGGTAAGACCATGAGTAAAAAAGACAGAGGTAAGGGGATGTCTCAGAGGAAACAGTGACTGTGTAAGCTCAAATAAATAACCGTCTTGCTTATAGGCCATGAGTGTTATACATGGATGCAAGATTTCTGCCATGTCTAAGGTGGACAGGGGAGGGAAGTTCTTCTATCTTTTGGTGTCACTGTTTTCTGGTATGTGAATTGCAGCCTTTGCCTGAAAGGTACAACCCCAATCTAATTATGTAGGGCAGAATCCATCTGACCAAATTCATAGTGGTAGATCTCTATATCTGAGCTAGTCACCCCATGTTCTCTTTATGGTCCACAGAGACCTAGTCAGCATGGTATGTATGGATTCTAGGGATGATGCATTTCAACTAAAGCAGATATTTAAAATGTAAGAAAGAGGTGAATTACACCCCAGAACTACCTCCAAAAGTGTGCTTCAAAAGTGTCTCCTCATATAGCCCACATAAATCTAGGGCAAGACTTAGGCACCTAGTACTGTTTGAGACATGCTAGGGCCACTGTCACATTTGCACAGGGTTGGCAGTTGGGAAGCAGGACCTTCAGGAGGCCCAAGCTTTCGTGAATTGGCAGGCAGATACTCTACAGCACATCAAATGGCTTTAGATGTCTAGGTTCTGGCAACATAATTCATCCTCAATCTCTATCGTTTACAGTAAATTCAGGCATCTAAATTTGGATGTCTCTGGTGAAGAAGCCTGCCCATGGGGTAATCTCCTATTATAACGTTGTTTAAATATGGGGAGCAAAGAACAAAACTTCCGTGAGACGGAAGGTCTGTATTCCATCTCCTCACGCCGCTATCTGGTGGTTTCCTTGAAGTATCTTTCTCACTATGTCACTGCAAATTTATTCCAGTCTGGTCCAGAAATCATCCCCGCAAACATGTAGGAAGCAACATATTCTAGAGCAACTCTCAAATTTATACCAAGACTTCATGACCCTTTACAGTCCTTGAACGGAGATAACTGCTTCCTTTGCACCTCCCAACATATGCACTCTCTCCACTCCTCTCATAAGCAAAGGAGTGAATCAGACACATGATCAAATTCTCTCATCTCTACAAGGTGCCAGCTAAACTGGTGAAAGTGTCTAGGTTCACACTCTTCATCTGTGGCAAACAGTGTAATTTGACTTGACTTTGTCTGCAAGAGCAGAGGATTCAGCTCAGTCACGTTATCTTGCCATCATCAGAGATTAAGAGCACAAACTCTGCCGATGCACAGTGACTCATTAAGAGGTGGTGGTAATTTGATCATGCTGCTGAGTGAGGTCTGTTCTGGTTCTGATGACTGTACAGAGTACCCATTTCCAGAGTATTGGGCCTTTCACTTTTAGCTGATGTAAAGTCTCACTTGAAAAGCAGACTTTTTTGATCAAAATAGATCTTCAGAATATATTAGAGGGCACAGGAAAGAATAAGCCTAATGCCTTTCTTCATATGATTAATACCTAGTTAGTTTTGAATAAAAATATAGGTCATATTGCTCTAGAAAACATGCAGTATGTGTTAATTTTGGCAAGGGCTGCTAAGAATTAATTTCTCTTCCTAAAGAAATATTTCACTTTTAAAAGATTTATTACGGTGCAATGTTCTGTAGAAAACAGACCTTTATCAGGAGCAAAGTCTACTTAGTCAAAAGAATCTCTTTTTCATTGGAAAGCGGTATGTTGGAACTGTTTTCTGTCATTCTATATTTTGACCTTCTTTCTGACAATGGGAAAAACAGGAACAGCACTGTAGTTACATGGAGTGGCACATCTTTTGTGGCTTTATAAAGGCTTAAGTGGATATTCAGTGAGTCACATCAGAATATAGTCAATCTCAAAGTTTCGAATGTTTAATTGAAAGTCTATATCTTTGCAGAAGAAATATGTGAATAGATCAATAGTGCTTTTGCGTAGCCTTGCTATTCAGAAATGTTGTTTCTTCTCTTGCTTCTCAACAGAAAACTACACTGTACTCGAAATTATATTCACATGCACCTCTTCATGTCCTTCATAATGAGAGCCATTGCAGTCTTCATAAAAGATGTTATCCTTTTTGAGAGTGGAGAATCTGAACACTGCTTTGTGAGCTCAGTAAGTAGCCATTCACATTGAAGTTTCCACCTTGTCCTCTTTGATTCTCTTAACTGATGCACCAAAATGACCTTGTAAATGCATCTGAGACAATATTTTGGGAAGATTTCCGTTTTTAGCTGTTTGAGAAGAAGCAAAAACCCAATTGCTGCTGTTTAGTTTGGATGGAAAGGGCATAAAATAAATAATAATGCTCAAAGGTTTGTAGATATCTAGTCCTTTCTGAGATGTCCCATTAGCCCTGTATCTGTCTCCTAGCCCCATACTGATGTCTTTTGATATCCTCATCAAAGGAGACTTACAGCACTGTGTTCAGAGAAGTTCTTCAAACCCCTCATGTCAGTGAGAGTGGGAGTCAGCTCCAGATTCAGACAAGTAACTTTAGACTTCTTTTAACAAGGCAAGTACCTATGCATAAGCTAAGTGTGTAAACTGCAATCATAGTCAAAAGAGATCTAATTAATGTACTCAGTGGGGTCTGGAGAGCTAATCATCTCACTTTAAAGAAGGCACCTGCACTCAGTAACCTTAATAGCTCTCTCCACTGATTGCGCTGACCAGATCTCCCCAGGAGTTTAGACAGCTGGCTCCAGTATAGAAGTCTCTATATAGACAGCAAAATTTAACTTCTTTTAATCTGGATCTGAATCCCGTGATAACTATGTATAACTGAGATTTCTCCACTGGGATGATAAAGGAGGGGGAAAAGGAGCTGAGATATTTTTCACTTTGCAAACTCGGTGTAATCAGTTGGCGCAAACATGAAGGCAGGAGAAGAGTTGTTGATCTCAAGGCCATATTGACGCAAGAAGACACTGATCATGAATAAATTTAGGCAGGAAATTAAAATCACCGAAACAGTGAGATGTGACCAGAAGTGAGAGAAAAAATAAAAACAAAAAACTCTCCATAATGAATTCATAACTGTAGAAGAGCTACTTGCTAGTAACAGCAAGGTGGGGACCCAGCGGGGGACTGAACACAGTAGAGAAGAGCACAGTAGAGAAGCCGAGAACCCAGTGATCCATGGAGCTTGAACTAACCTTTCACCCCTGCGGGAGTTTCTACCAGGTCATGGCTAAGGCAGGATAGCAGGAGACTGTGAGAAAAGTGTTTGCTGTCACAGTCTGCGCTGAAACACTTCTGTGTATAAATACAGCACTTTGTCCTAAAGAACTCGGCAGTTTCTGGAAGCCAGTGTGCTTTCAGCCAGACCCATGGCTACCACCATTGTGCGTGTTTCTCTCCATTGGAGGATTTTCACTGTCAATGTCAGTTCAGGGTGAATGGCTGCATGCTACACAAAGATTATAAAAATGCGTGGAACAAATCTGTCTCTGCTACACTAGACTGAGTTTACCCGTTATAAAATCTGTATCCATCTTGACCCAGCATTTTGGACAACTTATTAAGTCATAAGGCAAAAAAAGACCTACCTGAAATGCAATCAAAATACCTCTCATAATAATTATTGCTTGCAGAAACACTTATAAAGACCTTTGAGTATAGGTTGGGTTAGGTTGGCTTAAGTTAGGTTAAATGGTTGGTATGTTTGTGTTTTGGATTTGCAGGATAACTTGGAAGACCTGGGTATTAGTTCATGTGCTTGGGACCATGTATGCAGTTTACTGAAGGTTGCTTGTTTCCGTTGAAAATGGCAGGAATATCAATATGGCCTTGATCTCATTCAGTCTGAGCAAAAATTTGAACAAAAGGTTCAATTTACTGAATGCTCTCACTACTGTGCTGTTTTAGAATAGGGGTGAACTAAGGAAATGATGTTTTTAGAAAAGAAAACACTTCACTTAGTTCTTTTACGAAAAAAAGGGTAAAGGCACCCTTCTTCCAGAATAGGTTCAGGGCTATAAAACCCAAATTAACAGAGGCCTCTCTCAGCATTTCTGAGGAAGGGACCTAATTCCTGTGTTTGGCATTACCTGTTGCAATAAGACGCCCTAACATGACCTAATACACTAGCAGCATAAAAGTATAACCTATGCAAAAGCATGTGTCAATACACCAGTCAAGTAGGAACTTCACTTCATGTAGGTGCGTGTGTAATTGAAGAGACAGACTTGTCTGTAGGCTTTGCTACAGGAGCATGTTTTGCTTCATTTTACCTAATATGGGGAATCTTAATTGCAGTTTTAACCCTACAGCAAGACTTTCCTTTCTTAAATTCAAATAGCTTTGGATTGTCACTGAGCTGTTCAATATGAGGGCCCTGGAAATTTAGCTTGTTGGGCATTTGCATGGGCCACAGAGCAAATACCAGCGCAATAAGCATTTCAGGGAATCAGGGCCAGTGCAGCCACAATGAGTATTATTGGGGCATTATGTGAGTGAAAACATGTACCTTGCACTGAATGGTATTTATGTAGTGGTGTGTGGTCACCGTAGCCTCCTTAAATTCCTTGGTCCTTCTTCCTTGATAAATCTGCCTAGGTGAAAGAAAAGTCTTCCTAGTTTGATGAAAAATTCAGCCTGCCTTTCTTGTGGCAGAGACCCTGAGTTGGCGAGCGAGGCTGGTTTTCATAACTAAATGGAGCACGCTTAAATGACCATTGATTGCAGGGCCTATGCAAAGTGGCACAGGCCCTTTGTCCCGTGTTAAGGAAACTCAGCAACAAAGCAACAATAGCTTTACAAATGTCTCGCGCTCCTTCCTCTTTCCCCAGCCTCCCAGATCAATTAGGCTTGTCCTTAGGCACAGTGGTGATCCCGTGGCACATGCAGCAGCACGTGGACTGACCTTCAGAGAAGGCTGGCCCTCCAAAAACCCATTGTGGGGGTTTTCCATGTAAAAATGAATTTGAGATTCAGAAGGCCATAAGAAGCAACAACACAGCCTCTGGCTCATCCAGCAGCATTTTAAAGGGGAGAAGGCCCTCTGCTCTACTCTCTAAAATAAGAGAGTGCTGTGTGAAGCATCTGAGAAAGACAGCAAGTGGGAAATGTAAAACTCACCCTTTTCTTCATGTTGCATCCTCTGAGAAAGATGTCTACTTCCACCTACAGAGAGGAAGGCAAGCTCTTGTTAGCAATGCACCCCGGCATCTATTGAACTTTGGCTGACTGGCTCAGGGGAAGAGCCTGGCACAACTCTGTCTAAAGACAATGGGAATCTTTCCCTTGACTTTAATTGAAATTGAGTGAGGCCCTAAAATGTGTAAATACATCAACTGACACTTTTTCAGTAGCTCAGTGCGATACTGCAGAGTTGTACCCCGTCCACTGCATTCCTCAGGACCAGCCAGGCGCAAAGGAACTGCCCAAGGTAAGGAAGGGCATTGCAGGCTGGCCTTCCTCAGAAATGAGGTCCACCATGCCTTTGTATGATCAGCTGAAGGAGACCCTCACCCTTCCCACCTAATAGATGGCAAGCGCATTTGGTTTTCATGCCAATGAGCAGCACGAGGAGCAAAGGAAAAATAAGTGCTCACATGGAGCAGAGGTTTCTCACTGAGCTGCTCCGCTCCTGTCTAACCTGAACTACCTCACACCATCCACAAAATCCTGTAATATCCAGCCAAGCAGGTGCCATTGGCTTTGGGACACAGGTGTTGCAATAGACTAGCTTCAGTTCCTCTTTCTGGGCTTTTTAACAGTATTTGGCCTCTATTTACAATTCTACTAAGAATCTCTGTGGTAGTTGCTATCACAACACAAATGCAACAGACCCATCTCCTCATGGTGCAATGTCATCCCTTGGTCTGCGTCTTTACCATCAGGTTAGATTAAGAGATTTCCATCTGCCTAGCAGCTACGGAAGGATATTGTCCCCATATCTGCTGATTTTCTCCTCACTGCTAAAATCTAACTTTTACAGCAAAATAAATGATAGAGAGGGAAAAAAAAATAGAGAAAGCTCCTGTAAATAGTACAAAGAAGTAGAAAACAAGAAAAAGAGAGCTAGGGAAAAGAATGGAGACGTTTGCCGGTTCTCTTTCAGGTCTCACACTAGCACTTTAAGGTTCACTGAAACACTTCCAGGAAGTACCAGAAAATGGCAGAGAGGTGAGGGAGGAGAAGGAAAGAAAGAGAGAAGCTATTAACTAGATTCTTTAATTAACAGAGGCCTCAATGATGCAAACATTACCTAATAGTAAAAAAAGAGAGAGACAGAGACAGCGATCATGCCTCGTGTATTTGTGTCAGTTCAGTGCCAGGGTTAATTTGAAGATATACTGGCAAATGTAGTGAATGAAGGGTGTGTGAAGCGGTGAGAAGCTGTAAATAAGACGTCTGAACTGTTTACTGTCCATGGCCAGTAGCAGCCAGAAGCATGTAAGGTGGGGTAACCATCCACCCCTTCTTGTTCACATCCCCGTTCAGATTTTGAAATTGTCTATCCGGAGATCAGATTCTTTGTAAAAGGACCAGTAGGTGCAAGCTATCTTCTCCTTGTGGTTGCTGACTTGCAGTTGACTTCCCTTACTACTGAGGTTGCGTTCAGAAGCCCCGTTATGGTTCTCCAACTGATGAGCACAAAATAGGGATAGTTACTCAATTTATCAAGATAATCCTATTTTTATGACTCAGCTCTGAGTCATCTGACTCAGAGGCTAGACCAGCTAGAGCTTATCACCATCTTAGGAATACTCACAAGACCCTAAGAAAAAATCAAAACTAGTATTCCTAATAGACAAAATGGAAAGTCCCAGGCCCTCAAAGGCTGTTACTTATGTAACCCCTGTTAAAGTCAGTGGAAGCGAAATGCTTAAATAGCCTTGAGGATTAGAGTCACAAGGCTTAAACCTGCTTCTTATGTGAGGTAAAGCAGACATAAGAGCTTCCTAGTGAATTCAGCAGATAGTGTTATCTTTGAGGAAGCCTGTGTGGGAAGGCATAAAGTGCAGTGATGTGGACCATATTTGGTGTTGGTGTAAATTGGTATAGCTCCATTTGTTTTAATAGAGTTCAGGAGGTTTCTGTCAGCTGAGGATCTGACCCCGCTGTGTTTTCCTGAGTGGGAAGCTCATAAAACAGAGTTTGTCTTG